ATCCACCTTCGAGGCACCCCTTGCAATAGTTACCCTCATTTGAACCTAGCTGTTCTAACCCTTACTTTCCACATCTTTACAATAATAAATAATAATAACCGTTGCATTAATATAGCGCTTTTCACGTCTTCTAGACGTCTCAAAGCACTTCACAGAATATGCTGTAAAGTGAATTGACCGTATATTTGTGGGTGAAACTCCTTTACTCATTAATGTGTTTAATATCTCTAGTATAATGTTTTTTGAGTCCCTTAAGTGCACTGAAACCCCAGTTGGCATTAGATTGTGTTTGATAGTAGCTGCAAATATCACATTTGGCAATGTCAGCACTTTCACTGTTGCCCAAATCAGATTGAATATTACTGTGCTATGATCACTATTACCTATCCAGATGCTGTTCAGGTAGTAGAACAACAGCAACAACAAATTACATTTGTATACCATCTTTCACATTGGGAGGATGTCCAAGGCTCTGGACAGTCGGTGTTTCGGACTTGAGCAGGAGGTCAGGATTAGGGAGGGTGGAGGGCGGGAGGGAAAGCAGGGTGATCGAACGAAGAGAAGGCGCTTGAGATAGGTCTTGAAGGAGGCAAAGGAGGGGGCAAGGTAGAGGGACTGCGGGACGATGCGAAGCAGGCCAGAGCCAGCTGAGCAGGAGGAGCTGCCAGAATGGTAGGGGTTTAGGAGGTCGCGGAGGTAGGGGGAGCGAGGGCCATGGAAGGTTTTGAAGGTGAGGATCAAGATACATCCTCTGAATGTATCTCTGAATGATGGGAAGCTGGTGGAGTTGGGCGAAGATGGGGGTGATAGGGTCATGGAGCCTGGTGTAGGAGAGGACACAGGCTGCAGAATTCTGGATGACCTGCAGCCTATGGAGGGAGGAGTTGTGGAGGCCGACAAGCAAGGAGTTTGCAAGCCTTGATGTTATGAATGCATGTATGAGGGTTTCGACAGCCTGTAGTGTGAGACAGTGGCAGAGCCGGGCGATGTTGCAGAGTTGGGGTAAGGCAGAGTGGGTCATGGTACGGATGTGTGGCAGAAAGGATTGTTAACGGTCAAACAAGACACCAAGGTTCCAGACTGGCTTAGTAAGGTGGAGTGTGCAACCATGGATGGTGATACTGTCACCTCAAGGCTGGACTATGGGAACTGTCTCCTCGCCGGCCTTCCCGGCACCTCCCTCCACAAGCTGCAGGTCATTCAGAACTCTGCAGCTCATGTACTGTCCCTCAACAGGCTTCGCGACCACATCACTCCCACCCTCGCTCGCCTCCACTGGCTCCCCATCCCTCAGAGGATCAAATTCAAGATCCTCATCCTCACCTACAAGGCCATTCATGGCCTTGCTCCCTCCTACCTCTCCAACCTACTATCCCCCTACCTACCTGCCCGTACCCTCCGTTCCTCTGGCTCCGGTCTGCTCCACATCCCCCACCCCAACCGCCCTACCATCGGTGGCCGGGCCTTCAGCCTCTCAGCCCCTAGGCTCTGGAACTCCATCCCCCAGTGCCTTTGCCTTGTTTCCTCCCTTTCCTCCTTCAAGGCTGGTCTCAAGACCTTTCTCTTTGACCGTGCCTTCAGCTCCCCTTTCGACTCTCTACCCCCTCCTCGCTCCTTCCCTTCCCTCCCCTCACCCTGAAACATTTCTCCCTGCTCGGGTCCTGACCCAACTGTACAGCGCCTTGGGATGTCCTCCCGACATCAAAGGTGCTCTATAAATGGAATCTTGTTGTTGTTGTTGTCAGCGCCTGAGGTGAGGAGGCGCTGACGGGAGCCAATCAGGAGAGCCTCAGTCTTGTTGATATTCAACTGAAGAAAGTTAGCTCTCATCCAGGTCTTGATGTCTGACAGACAGTCTGTCAGGACAGCAGTGGTCCTGGAGTCAAAGGTGGAGGCATAGAGGTACAGTTGGGTGTCATCCCAACTGGTTCAAGAAGTGATTGAACCACCAAGTTGTTTAGTGATTCAACGACTCCCTCCTCCTCTGTGACCTTCTAAAACACAACCAACCCACCCACTCTTTCCACATGCTCCAAACCCATGTGCTCCCTCCATGGTGAACTAGAGAGAGTGACTACAAATCTTTCCCATGTGGACATTCCCAGGTTACACTGGGCTGGTTGAAATCCTGATCAGAGTTCAACCTCTTTTTTCTCTCATGCTTCTAACATTGTCAATTAATTCTCTACTTTGGTGGTTTAATGGAATAGCCCGAATATTATCCTGGACCTTTCTCATTGAACATATCTACGTAAGCAGAGAATTTCTTAGCATGTTTTTTCTAGTGATACTTTAATTGTTATCAATATCTATTCTCTCTAGGCTGTTGCCTCCTACAGTTTCGGTACAGTTGGCAGGTTTTGGAAGGTGGTACTAATGGGAATTTTTCTTTTGGGATTATTCATATTTCCGTGAGTTCTCAGGAGTTGGAACTGGAGCTTTAGCAAACCAAGAATATATTATGTACGCCAGACCTCTGGATAAATAAAAATTAAACCCTGGTCTCAGAGAGAGGGGGAATGAATGGCATTGCTTGGGCCTGGAGAGAGAAGTGGTAGTTGGTTAAGCTTGCAAACCCTTGTGCTAATGCTGCTCCCCAAATCCTGGGATTTATAGAAGAGAATTCTGGATTTCAGGATTGAATTAAAGAAACTTGTATTTTTATAGTTCTGTAGAGAGAGGGGGAGGGGAGAGTGCTCAAAACACATAAAGTTATGCACTACCCTTGCTCAGTCAAGTACACTGCAGTTGTCGTTAACGTGCGGATTAGATGTGGTGTCTCTAGTGTTGATAGAGATGGATTTCAGGTTACTTTAAACCTGTTTGACAGGAAAGGATTGTCTCGCCATCTTCCGTTTTACGTTTCCATGAGTTGTTCTGAAATACCATAAGGAAAAAAACTTTAGAAACTTACTATAGTGAAAGGGACTCAATCAAGTTTATCGCATTAATAAATATGTACCAAATAATTAACTGGAAATATGTGTTTTGATGTTCTTGATTCAAGGAATATTGCATAACAAGGCAAGATTTAGCTCTAGGGATCCCATGATCCTGGGATTTGGGCATTAGAATCCCGAAATTGCAGGATTCAGAAAGATTGCAGCCACTGGGTAGGGACAGTGCTGTCTATAGCATCTTTCACATCAAGAATTCTCCCGAAGAGCACACAATTCGATGAATTAGAAATGAAGTCAATGTGCTTTATAGGCAAATGTGGCAGCTAATTTCCTCCAGCAACATCCTGCAAGAGCCACAAAATGAGCCAATTCATTGGAATTTTTGGGGTGAATTTGCACGAGGTGAAAATATAAGACAGTAGGCTGGACAGAGGGAGTAACTCCCCACTTTTCTTTGATATAGTGGCATGCGATGTGAAGGATCTAATAGGATCTAACAATAATTTTTGTATAACATAATATTATAATAATAATCCTTGCATTTGATATGGCACCTTATTACATCATCAAGATGTCTGAAAGCATTTTATAGGATTTTGCTGTGAAGTGTAGTGACTGTATATTTTGAAGGTGAAAGTGGCAGTCGATTTACACACAGCAATGTCCCATAAACAGCCATGAAGTGAGAGTCAATTTTATTTGGGGGCATTGTTGGCAAAAACACCAAGAGAAACTCTCCTCTCTTTTTGAATAGCACTCCACAGGATCTTTAACGTCCACCTGAATAGACACATTGGACCTCAATTTAACATCTCGTCTGGAAGCTGACACCCATGACAATGCAACAATCGCCCAGCACTGCTTTAGAGTGTCAGACTTAAATTAATAACTAAAACGGGAAAATGACCCAGAATGTAGAAAAGTCTGTGCCAGTTGCTGTCCCACAAACACCAAGATAGGTAATCAAATTAATTTTTTTTAAAAATCCATAAATTTGGATCAGAGAGGAATATTGGCCGGGACAATTTACATTAATATTTAAATTTACAATGAAATAAAAGGAAATTTTAAGAATTGAAGAGGGAGAAAGAAAATGGAAATGATGGAAAGAAAGCAACATGATGACATGAATAAATTTGAAACTCTCTTTCAGGTGTATAAATGCAATCTTCTGCAATCGTCTAGTCTTTACATGCTTCTTTTAAACAGGACAACTTATTAATGACAGTGCTAGATTCTTACATTTATTTGAGGAATGGGTAGGGAAAAGAGCAGAAATTTGGAATTAAAACACTGTAGTTAACTCCAAGCAAAGATGTAACTGCATCATAAGACTCCATAATAATAATAATAATTATAATAATCATTGGATTTCATATAGCGCCTTATCACATTGTTGAGATGTCTGAAAGCGCTTCACAGAATATACTGTAAAGTAAATTGCCTGCATATTTTGTGGGCGAAACACAGCATCCAATTGCACACAGCTGTGTCCCACAAACCGTTGTGGATTGAGTGACCAAATTTTTTTAAAAGGGATTATTATCTCCGCAGAGTGATCCATGGGCTGAATGGCCTACTTCTGTGCTATAATTTCTGCAAATTCTTTCCCCTGTGAGTAAAGAGTTTAGAAACATGGGAAAGAAAACATTACAATATCGCTTGTCAAAATATTTTAATGCTTGTAATTAAAGTGAGGCACAGAATCCCCCAAATTAACTTCAAGTGTACTCTCTTCTGAGGAAGGCCTTTTCTGGTTATTGTGCTATCCAACAATTTGTACGTTATCTTATAAATGTCCCCATTTTTATACACGTCCCCCCAACCCTCACCTACCCTTTTCTTTGATCTCTTCTTACACATCGTTATTTCTAAACGAAGGCATTTTACTAGGAAGTGACAATGGTTGAAGTGTGCTAAGTTATTTTGCATTTGAAAGCTCAACACTTTCACTCTTCTTTGAACTTGCCTCCTCAGCTGTGAGTCCACATGCGCTCATTCCTCCACACTCATTATAAAAGGCAGACCCTCTTCTATTGCCTTCAGTCACTCACTCTGCCAGCAGTCTCAAACTTTAGGCTGAGACCCTGATAATCCATCATGGACAACCTTTTGCAAACTCTGATGAGCCTGGAGGATGGTTTGGAATGGAACAATCTTGAAATGCTTACAGCCGCCAGCTGGAAAAGTGAAGAAGACAAATTTGAGCCATGCCAGGTTCCATCCTCCCAAAGTCCCTCATCTTCCGAATCCTTCTATCCTTCTCCTCCTCATCTCCTAGAGACACCAGCGACCAGTCTGACAGGATACACATGCACTAATTTCTCAGAATCTTCGCTCCAAACCTGGGACACTGATGAGAGTAGCTCAGCATCTCCGAAGACCCAGAAACTGACAAAGGGAAAGATGTCACACAAGCGCAGGATGAAAGCGAGCGAGAGGGAAAAGCTGAGAATGAGGAGGCTTGCTAATGCCCTGCACATGCTCAGGAGCTTTCTACCGCCTGTCTACAGCCAACGAGGTCAGCCTCTTACCAAAATCCAGACTCTGCACTGTGCCATCCGTTACATTTCTGAACTTTCCGGCTTATTGGCGCAAGGAACACAAAGTGATTAAGGGCAGAGCATATAAAACAACTGGACTATGTGATCTAGCTCTAAATGCAAATGGACTAAGTATGAAGATTTACTGTACATTTTAACCAGATCTGTTTTGGAATGAATGAATTACTAATTTTTTCGTACTCGGCATAACATTTTTGCCATAAATGTATGTATAAATATATATATGTATCTATTACTTGATATGATTTCTATAGTTGTATTACAAAAGATGTCGATGGAAGAATGTATTAAAGACAATTTTTTAAAATATATATATTTTACAACTGCTTATTTTCGCTTCATGTTCACCATCTAACCCACGATCACATGAAGATTTGAAGTTTAAAAAAAAGAATAGTATAAAAACAATATTTCAAAATATACTTTTAAGTGGATAATAATAATAATAATCCTTGCATTTGATGTAGCATCTTATCATTGAGACATCTCAAAGTGCTTTATGGGATATACTGTGAAGTGGAGTCCTGTAGCTCAGTGGTTAGAACATTCGCCTCGCAAGCGAGAAACCTGGCTTTGATTCCCGGCAGGGCAAAACCTTGGGCAAGTTTCTTTACTCCACATGCCTGATAATAATCCCTCAAGAAAAAAAATACACAAAAAAAATTGATTACTTCAATCCACGACTATTTGTGGGACACTGCTGTGTCCAATTGGCTGCCACGTTTCGCCCACAAATATACAGTCAATTCACTTTACAGCATATTCTGTGAAACGCTTTGAGACATCTAGAAGACATGAAAAGCGCTACATCAAATGCATGGATTATTATTATTATTTATTATAAGTGGATATGTATTTTGTAGGCCAAACACGGCAGCCAATTGCAGACAACAGTGTCCTGCAAACAGTGGTGGATTGAGTGACCACAGTTTTTTTGGGGTGGGGGGATTATTACCCCAGGAAAACGATCCACCAATTGACAGGTAATCACTTACTGCTAGGTAAACAGAAGCGTGTGGAGTAAGGAAGCTTCCCTCTGCATTTCTGAGAAATGCTTTGTCCACCTTATTCTGGTGAAAGGCGGTACAGAGCAACACGCCAGTCTGTAGGGATGTGATGGCACCCAGCCCACCCCATTCCTTCCCTCTTTCCAGGAAAACATGATTGTCATCATTATGTTGGTTGGACCACTTATCATATTGCATGCAGTGATTACTCCAGTGGTCCTATAATAATAATAATAATAATAATAATAATCCTTGCATTTGATATAGCGCTTTTCACGTCTTCAAGACGTCCCAAAGCGCTTCACAGAACACACTGTAAAGTGAATTGACTGTATATTTGTGGGCGAACGCGGCAGCCAATTGCGCACAGCAATGTCCCACAAACAGTCGTAGATTGAAAATGACCAATTTTATTATTGTTTTTGGTTTTGGGGGGATTATTATTAGGCGTGTGGAGTAAGGAAACTTGCCCAAGGTTTCGCCCTGCCTGAAATTAAACTCAGGTCTCTCGCTTGCAAAGCGAGTGCTCTAACCACTGAGCTACAGGACTCCACGACTACCACTTTAGTAGGGAATAGAACCAACATCCCTGGAGGAAATAGTGCTGCTATTGAACAAGTCATGAGATGTAAACTACACATTCCATTTCCATTATTACAGGGTTTTATGTAAATAGTAACCTAAATACAAATATAGGAACAAAGTCAGTCAAAGTTTATTATGTATACATAAATAAGAGAAGCACGATGTGGTTTGATGTCAACCATTGGCCTTTGCTAGTGGTTTAAAAATATATATATGTACTGCGCTCATTTCAAAGTCACTATCTTGATAAACCCAATGATAGAGCATCAAAACACACTTTGCAACTCTCAGTTACATGTAGATGACTAACATTTGCTATTTTTATAGAATTACATAACTATACAACACTGAAACAGGCCATTCGACCCAACGAATGTGTGTCCGTGTTTGTAGTCCACCCTACTAATTCCCTCTCCCTATGATCCTCCCATATCCCTTTATTCCCTTGTCCCTTCCATACCCCTCTATTCTCCTTCTCCCTCATGTATACATTGAGATCCCTTTTAAATGTATTCATGCTTTCAGCTTCAAGCACAGCTTCTGCCAGTGAGCTCCACATGTTCTTCCCCATATATGTGCACAGGTTATTATCTATGCATGTAAAAGGAACAACAGAATATGTGCATCCTCTATTCCAATATAAATAACCATCACCATTTGTTCAGGGAAAAGATTGATGGACACATTCCCAGAATAAGATAATCGCTAAGTATAAAGACCCTTCACAAGTGAAATTTATGAGTTAATGAGATTTGATAATATAAACTGGGTGAGATATTTATTTCTGCAATGATTGAATGAACATAATAATTTCTTAACTTTTGATGTGATTCACATGGTAGCGCATCAAAGAAAATACAAGAAAACCATCAAGAAGATATAATTTGCCCAAGATTTCGCTACATCTGGGAACCGAACCCAGGGTCCTCTCGCTTGCGAGGTGAGCCCGCTAACCACTATTGCTATGGGATTTCTCTGTGGGGAAGGTAAGCAAGCTGTCTTTACAGCTGAACTAGGTCCAGGCAATGGAATGTCAGAATCGAGTCACAGTCATCTGGTTCCTGAGATAGTACTCCAGGACACTGCTGATTATAGATCAGCCAACCTGGCTCATCACAGGACTTGGATGACAGACTGGGAACAGGGATTTTTACCCCTCAGCTACTGTTAATGCTGCAAACCTAAAGTGTGGTCCTAGCTGCTCAAGCAGTAAGATAGCCAGACCGTGCTTTCCAACAGTAATTTAGATTCCTAAGTTGAATTTTAGTAGTACCCCAACATACTCTCTGGGGTCCCCAAGCCTTAATTCTTGCCAATCTCTACCTAATAATTCAGGACTAGGCTCTGTGAGCCCATCATTGCCCAACTCCACTGGTTCTCCATCCCCCAGTGGATTGGATTCAAGATCCTCATCCTAACCTTCAAACCTTTCCATAATCTTGCCCTATCCTATCTCTGCAATGTCCACAAACCCAGCCTGTTTCAGGTCCCTTGTCTCATCTGCCCCACCATGGACAGTTGGGCTTTCAGTGTATTTTCTCCCACTTTCTGGAACTCAATCCTGGAGTCCCTTTAACTCCCTCTTCCCTTGCCTCCTTCAAGGTCCTCTTCGTCCTCTTCCCCTACTCACCCACCTCTGCTCCCACCCCTCTGGCTCCCACCCCATCTCGAGTGCAAACCATGGACTGTGAAAGGTGCTATATAAATGTAAATTTGTATTGTAAATAAAATTGGTCATTTGTTTCATAGCTGTTTGTGGGTATTGCTGTGGTGCAAATAAATACACAGCCACTCCACTTCACAGTAAATCTTTTGAAGTGTTTGAGATGTCCTCCCAATGTGAAAGTACTATACCAAATGAAAGAATTAGGTAAGCAGATTGCATCCGTTTGGGGAGACAGTGTCCATTCCATTTCATTTCCATGTGTAGGTGGCATACATGGAACTCTCAGATTGTTTTGGTGATAATAATATGATGATAATAATAATCCTTGCATTTGATAGAGCACCTTATCACATCATTGAGACTCCTCAAAGTATTTCATAAGATATACTCTATCTATAGTGTGTATTTTGTTGGTGAAAGTTTCAGACAGATAGCTGACCAAAATAAATTAGGAAAATTCTCAAAATTGATATTAATTTGGAAATTAGTTCTCTCCAGGACTTTTCAAGAAGTTTTTTTTAAAAAATGTTGAGCCCAAAATGTTGAGATAGTCAGACTTGGTTGTGTTGCTCTCCATAGACAAATGATTTGCCTGACACCATTGATTAAGCAATACGTGAGTAGTATTCTTTGAGTGAGGTAAGGTACCAAATAGGTCAACCCATATGCTATCAAGAATGAGCTTCCATTTGAATTTTCAAAAATCAGCTCTTTGGGAGTAACATCCTGCTTACCATCCAGTGTACCGTTTGTGGTGATTTGTGCTTGTAGATATCTCTCATAATAGTATTAATCCTATCCATAATAATAATAATTCTTGCATTTGATATAATGATATTTGATAGTGGAGAGAGAAGCAGCAGGGAATGGAGTTTGGGTTAAGATGAATTTTCAAGGAAGATTAAAAGTCATAGTATCAACAAATATGTGAATGATAATAAGACTGTGTTCTGCCTGTGTATTGTTCCCTCCAGATTCTCTGTATGTAGTAATACTGTAAATCCCAGGTGTTCCAGTAGCCAGGAGAGACATGAAATGAAAAACGTTCTCAGGACAGTTCATCTTCCATCGGGAAATGCTTCTGAAGCTAGCTGCAGCTGGAGTGAAATTAAATGTGTTAAAATACTCGCCTGAATTTATAGAAGCCTTTCATGTCAGCTTGTAGAAATCACACATATGAGGCAATAGCTTCCACTTCAGCAACTCAGTACCTTAGCTCTAATATTTAGTATCCTGACCAACAATCCCCCTGATAATATTAGTCATTTCCTTCATCCTGTGTTTGGGACATTGCTGTGTGCGAATTGGTTGCAGCGCTCGCCTACACATACACAGTCACACTGTTTAACAGTAAATCCTGTGAAGCACTTTGAGACATCCTCAAAACATGAAAGGTGCTATGTCAAATGCAAGGATTATTTTAGAGAGGAACTTGTACATAATGTGACATTTCAGGCCACATACACCTAAATACCTCCCTCTAATTGAAAAAGTTATGTTCTCAAAGCATGCTTGTAGCTGTTCTTACATCTTAATTACTGAAAACTATGTGTAACATAGGCAAAGTAATATGAAATAATATAAATATGATAAAATGAATGTTTACTTTAGATTAGCAATTTGCAATTGTTTAAGTAGTGCAAGGTATTACAAGGCAATGAAACTATTGATTCCCTGGGTCAAAGAGTTGAGACAGCGATAGTTCTCTCTTCATTTAACACTTTTAATGGGGAGAATCTCACAGTTTCTGCTGCAGTTGGTTTAAAAACGGATATTTCAAAGAGCTTGTTTATC